CTACCCTCAGCCTATCCTCCCACTGCCTCCTGCTTTCTCTGTATCATTTCCAGCCTTTTCTCACTGCTGGCCTTCTCATTTGCATACACAGACAGCTCTGAAGGTAGCCCTTCCCGACAGAGCCCCCTGTGATGTTGTTTAATTAAGGCGTTTGAGAACCTGCATGTCTGTGCATGTCACTTGGTGAGTCAAGGCATGCTTATACAAGAAGCTGTGTTTTCTGTGACGCCTTTACAAGTATGTGCTTGTGCTGAAGTATTTGCTTATTTCATGTTTATGCAGAGCTGATTTAGCTCCTCTGTTTCTCCCTCAGGCTTGCCTCCACATCCGAAACACAGACACACACACACACACACACACACACACACACACACACACACACACACACATACAGAGCAAGAGATGGGGAAATAATTAAGTCGGTCACAGAAATGAGACCTAACCTCCATCCCCTCAGTGGCTCATGTGCAACAACAAAAATGGCTGATGGCCGTCCCTCCGTCTGTCCCTCCGTCTAAAACTTGATCACAGTCCCGGCCGTCTGCCGTGGGTGATCAGAGCTGACAGACCAACACACAGAGTCAGGCTCTCCTTTCATCCCATACCCTCTCATCACTCCATCACTTCATTCCTTCATCTGTCCACCCCCTCTCTAAACAGCTCTTGGTGTGAAAGGCTGCATTATGTCCAGAAAGAGACAAGAAATATGAGGGCGTGATGGTGAAATTATCGTCTTGACGAGAAAAAAACTGCAAATATGCTTAATTACTTGAGTAGTTAGACTGCGAGACATTTCTCTGAGTCGAGGCAGCTCTGGAGACAGAAAAGGCCCAGCATGGTGTCATAAAACTTTGCAAAAGGTGACAAAACTTTGAATCACAGATAAGGTTTGTTAACGAGAATGAAGTAAATTTACCTTCTCTGTACCTCTGTAGCTGATGAAGAGCCCATTTGGACATTTTTTAAAAGGCAGCAGTCTAAAGTGTTAATTGCGAGTAAAAAAAAGTTTAGCTACCACCCTACCTTTTCCTCTGAACTTCCGTACTTTTAATTCAGCCTTGAAAAACTGGTTCTTTGGCTTCACCAGTCGACGTTTAATTCACTCAATTATATAATTTCTAAGTGAAAAACCCGTAAAACTAAAAATTCCTTCACTTTCGAGGAGAGTGTGAAAGCAAGAACAAAAGGTAGATTCGATGTCAGCGGCACCTCTAAACCCAGCAGAGCGGTTATTCAGAGAGGGGATGAGCACACATTATCAGGGATAAGCTGCTCTAACAGCCCACCCAGCCAGCCTCCTGCGCTCCTGCATTGTTCCAACACGCTCTGACTCACAAAAGGCAAAAATACATTGAAACCTCGGTGCCGTGGTTCCTCCTTGCTCTCTGTGACTCACAAAGCTGGACTACATTTAGCTTGCAATATCCGTCGCCAACACAGCCTGACAAAAGAGCTGGAGAGCTGCATGCATCTTCCTGCTGCTGTTAAAGCTGAGATGTTAAAGCAGTACATGAAAAGAGGGATTGGTAACTGAGGTTAAGACATGACATATGACATTATGAAGAAAACACCTCAGGAATTTGACCCTTGTGAAAGGATCAGGGGAAAGTTTGGTTTGATTACAGTTCATGAGATTTATTCTCGGTATTTTAGAGAATTAGGATATTATTTCTGATACATTTTTGGGAAAATCTGTTTCAATTTTAGACTATATTTCTTGAAATTGCTGGACTATCATTTCCCAGTAGTCTGGTACAAGTCAATGTTAGCTCTTGAATGTTTTTGCTATCCAGTCCAATCATCTTTAGCGGGTTGAACCCAGATTTCTGTAATTTAAATGTAATTTTGCTTGTTTGATGTCTTGCATATCAAGTCAAGTCGTTGAGGTCAGGTCCAAGTCAGGTCTGCAAATGGTACATTTACTGTATTTACCATACCAGACTTGAAAGTCTCAAAAAGCAAGTCAAAGGTCCAAGTCAAACCGCAAAGGTAAGATTGAAGTTGTTCTGATTTCAGAGGGAGATTTTCTTCCTCTCAAAACAAGTCATTAGAGAATATTAAAATTAATGAGTCTCCAGTTCTGTTTGTTACAGATGTACAAAGTCATTTTAGACCGATCTGTCTATCAGAGTAAGTTTCAGTCTCTGTATAAGCGTTGTATGCTGTTGCTTTCTGGTCTAGTGTCAAGTATTAAAGTCAGTTTTGTCATCTCAAACCTACAGCTTGTTTTTATGTCTCAAGTTCTTTGAGACAAGTCCAACTCAAGTCTATCAAAGCAAGTCTTGATTCATTAAGGGCAGGTCAAAGTCACCAGTCAGTCAAGGCAAAGTCAGGATGCAAGGTCTTCCAGGTTTATGCATGAGATTTGAATGCTCTCCAAGTTAAATTAAGTCTTTAGGGGCTAACATCTTTAGTACATCAGGTAACAGAGAAGTCAGGTCTCAAGTTCTTATTTTTGGGATCCAGACTCCAAAGTCTACAGCTTGTCCAACTCAAGTCTCTAACCAATGGGGCTTAGTCCATATCAAGTCTTTCAGGTCTCTGAAGTCAAATCTAATCTTAAGATGATCAAGTCTCAAGTAAATCAATTTTTAGAGCAGTCCTCATTTATGTGATTTAAATCAGACCCAAGTCCATTTCTTGCGTTCACATCTCTGCTTGTTTGGTATATTGATCATTATCAGAGAGCAGTTGAACGACCAAATGTGTCACTCTGATCAACATCAAGATAGAAACACAACATCAACATTCCTTGGTGGAATTTTTCTAATGTTTGCTTTCAATCTGTCCGTTGACTCAAAGGAAGGAGTTTTACTTTTTCATACAGTAACCATATTCACCCCATGGCTATTATTGTAAACTTATTTAACCCCAGTGCCATTATTTTTTCTGTGATTACAGCAACGTGAGTCAGAGCTGGAATACATAAGGGCTGGAAATGCACTTTCTCCTCGATGATAAATAGGTGCCTGACATTTTAGGCCCAATCATAGTGCAATCAAGGCAAAACACTTGAGCTAAGCTAGAACAATACACCACCTTCAATTTACCCAGAGTTCCACTTGTGCACTTAAAATGAATAATCCTATAAATTGCACCAGAGAACAGCATAGGCACAACACATAAATACATGGTTATGGAATTAATGGAATCATTCTAGTGGGGTATTTGGGCTTGAATTTCTCTCAGTAGAAGTCTTTATGTGTTTGTTGCATTGTTGTTGTTTGAGGTCTCATTCTGGTTTTATGTTGCGAGGGAATTTTGTTTGTTTGGGTCTGAGAGGCCCTTGTGTAAAGACGGTTTATACATTAACAAGAGATTTAATGCATTTGAGTGCATGATCCACAGTAAACAGCTGTGTGTTTGTTTGTGTGTTATTAGGGAGTTAAATGTGTTGTTGTGAGAGCATGTAGCCTGATACCCCCAATGAGTGGCCATTTTGTGACATTCTTGTTAGCTGTTTTCTGTGTAGAGAGGCTTTACTTTCTGTCTAATGCTACGCTGATGTAAAGCAAGTGTCATAATGTTTTTTTTTCAATTTGATAATATGTAGCATTTGTCATATCAGGGTAAAAAAAACAACAACCTGCATTTACTCAGGGTTGTCATCTTGAATGAGAGACTTAGTTTTCAGACACCACTGCATAATGTAGTGGCAAGTCAGTGGGTTTCTTTAAATTGTTTTTTATGTCAGTAAATGCCAAACCTGTGAATCTTGAAGCTTTTATGTGTCTTAAAAAAGTGACTAAATGAGACTACAGAGTTTGATGATGGTAAATTCACAGACACGTTGTGTTCATACTCGTGCCCTTGCAAACTACTCTAACTCAATCTTTCCAACTTGTCTATTTTAATTACAGGATTTAAATAAAAGTTGAAAGTTTAGTGGTCGTGACACTGAAGTCATGGGAACGTGGTGTAGATCGTCTATTGCTTTTTAATTCTGCTGATTGCACTTTAGTATCATAAACATTTGTTTGTCACAGAGCTTATTTTCTGCAACAATCTGAAGTCCAATAGAAAAATCCCACAGTTTTTTTGTACCAGGACAATGCCAACTTTCGTGTTGGCTTACAAAAATACATCCCTGCAGCACTCTATTGATTAAAATGGAGGAAAGAGTAGTGTGAGCGCCTAGTGCAGTGGACATTAAGGGTAATACTAAAATCTCACAGGAAGTTTATTTTATTTTCAACTTCCTTTACATTGTTGTTTAGTATTTGTCACTCTGCCATGAAATGCTATTAAGGATGTCTCTGCACCACCTGACTTGCAGATGCATGCAGTCAGTTTGTCTCAGGAGTAAAGAGTTAAAGTAAGTAATGGGAAGTGAAATGAACTTTAAGTGTTTGTTGACAACCTCGTTATGTGTTCTTTCTCTTTCTGCTATTTCATTCTGTGGTCATTATGTAGTTGTTGTTATTATTATTATTATTTACTGCAATTATTATAATGATGCTTACAATTAACCATGATTATATGAAAGATAAGAGCAACAAAAAAAGGCGGCAAAGATGTGAGAGGAATGAGGGAGTGCTGCTGAGGCAGCTGGTCTGGAGGGCCGCATCACAGCAGGCGCCACCATGGCAACAGCAGGTCATAATGACAGACAGGCAGAGGGGCACACAGCATCGTGATTGCTTCAGTCACATTCCTATCAAACACACCGCTTTGCATTTAGTTTTTGTCCCTCTGAGAAGCAATTTGTCTATTCATTTAGGCAGGCGTGCCGGATGGAGGTAATTTCAAACGACTGATTGCAGGCTGAAATGTCTGGTTTGGGTCTTTGGGGAAATAGAAACCATTTAGAATCAGAATCTTAATTGAGCAACTGCCGCTGTGTGTTATGTATTGCTGCTGATGAAGAGTGTGTGTGTGTGTGTGTGTGTGTGTGTGTGTGCATTGCTCTAATATTCAGAATAATTCAAGCCAGTGCATATCTGAATAAATCTGCATTGAATAGAGAAATGGCAGACACAAAAAACACGTTCACTTGCAGATGAATTGAAATCATTCAAACTTTATTCATCACGTTCACCACCCATCACTACAAAGCTTTGGGGCCCCTAGCTCTGATTGTCGCTAGCCATTTGTTCAGAGCCCCGTCACCCACCCCAAACTCTTCAACTCAATCGCCAAAATGAAAGAAAAGTCTTCTCAGTTCACAGATAAGTCCATAAACAGAGGATGGAAATAGATGATGAGCATATTAAAGAGGCAATAGAGGAAAATACAGTGAGAGAATTATCAAGTATGCCACTTTCACCCAATGTTGATAAACTGTTTCTATTTTATTCTCCTGCAACATAAAATCTCAGCAGGGACCCAAAAAAGAAAGACGCCCAGTTTCATTTTCTGGTCAAAACAAAAAAAAACACAAAAGCTTTGCGTCACACTAAAAATAAAAAAAGAGGGAGGGGCAGCTAATGTGAGGATGGTGAGATTTTAGCATACTGTTTTTACAGCCCCTCGGGCATTTTCAGTGAAGAATAGCCGACACTTTAGACACGACAGCATGACCATTACTGAAACTCTCTCACAAGAAGCAGAACAGCCGGGCGAACAACTCGTACAATCAAAAGAGCACTTAGAGAGACTCACAGCCAGGGAGAAATGGATCATAAATGAACAGTTGAGGGGAAATAAAAGAATATTTTTCGGTTGGCTCCCAGTCAGACACACACATGGGAGGAAGAGTATTTTCAAATACCTACTCTGATTGTACTTTTTAGCTTATTTATCGGTATTTACCACAGTTTGATTTATGCATTTGACCATTAGGTTATTATCCCATTTATGCATTTGTACTGACAGTACCTGAACTCCATAATAAGGTTATAACCATGAAATTGTGAAATAATCCAACCAAATGTTAAAACTCAGCTTTTTGTTATACAATGTTATTTCATCCTGCCTCGTCTCACAGTTACAGTTTGTGTCTGGTCATTTTTACTTCGTTCCAACAGTTTTTATTCCAAACTGTCCCTACTCCAAAATGTGTCCATCTAATCATCCAAACACAAGCGACAGCCAATTACTTCGCCGCCTTTGTCCTTTTTGTCTTGTCTCGTTTACAATAAATGACTGTGGTCATTGAGAAAAAAATGGTGTGAAATAAAAAGGCAGGCTTTGAAAAGAGACATTTTGATATGAAATAAAAGTGAACAGCTGAGTTTTATTTCACAGTTTTGATTGATGATTAGATGTTTGGACTGTATTTATTCAGATGATTGTTTTATTATTTTATTTAAGTCATTTAATATTGATCACTTTAGGTTTCAGTAAATGTTTGATGAGCAGCAGACAAACACATATATTTAGTTTTTTCTTGTCATTTTACAGCAGGTTGAAGCAATTCAGGAGTTTCACTCAAAGCCAAAATGCATTCTGGCACGTAGCAGCTGAATTCAAACTAATTCACATATTACTGAGGGTCAGCATAATCATCAGACTGATTTAAAGGATAAGGTTGGTGATATTCTATATTTCTCCGCCTGTGACCCAATCCCATGAAAAGACCAAACCCAGCAATGAATTGAACCAACTAGCAAGTCAAAGCCTGATATATCGTCCATTGTTGTAAAAAAAAAAAAAAACTATAAAAAATTAGGGCAGGTTATTTAAAAAATGGCAGAAATAGTCTCTTATGCACTAAATGTATATTCATCCACAGCTGTAAATACACAATTGACCACTGTTTGATTAACATTTAGTGCCCAGCAGTTTTAGTAAATTATGGAGCCTTTTTGAATAATTAAACTACATATTTGTGACCTGCTTTTAAAAATGTACATCTTCAGCAGGAACCAATGCACTTGACAGAATAGGGAAGTTGGCAGGCAGACAGTACACATTGTTGGTTTTGGTCTTTTTGTGGGATTTGTTGTCAGTGAGAAAAACATATAAAAATGCCAGCCTTATCCTTTAAAGTGAGTGGAGCCGTTTTTACAGTGTTTGTACCTTGAAGAAATGTTACACATATCTGAACACATTCTAAATACCAGTAAATAAATAAAAACTGCTGTGCATCTCGTGCTTTCAAAGCTGAGGTTCCCCGGTATGTTCAGATAAGCACACTTTGAATTCACATATTCATACACAGTCACTTCATAGAACTGTTTATCCACCACTTTCCTCCCGCTCCACATTTCATTCCTGTCAGAGCAGCAGTGGTTTGTGTGTTTTTCATTATCGTAACCTACAGCACGACAGACTCCAACCACAAAAGCATTGTGTGGTTGAGCACTTAAACACGGCTAAATGAAAGATTAATTTTAAAGCGACTACACTTGTTTCGATGTGCGGTTTTCAGAAGTGGTCTGTAGTTGTGCATTATGTAAAACATGTATAGAATGAATTTTTTACATCATTGCCACATGTCTTGTTCCATCTCTGTTGCCTGAAGTGGTATGCTGAACATGAGGGTCCACTAACTGGATGGCAAAGAACAGTTTTTCATTCATGAAAAATAACTGTTAAAAATACAGTAATGGGACTCTTCATGTCCCGATAATAAATAATACATAGTCTTAATAAATCTCACACACATTACTTCCTTTTGTTGCCATGCCAACTTGGCTGGCCATGGAAAAAAAATACAACATGACGCAGAGAGAGCCACTTCCTGGCTCACACACACACACACACACACACACACACACACACACACACACACAGTCACTCACACAAATACACACAGACATCCTTCCTCCGCCCCAAAGTTACTTAGCAGTACCCTGCTGATCATAGGAATAAAAGAACATAAATGACACATTAAATATGAGGAGAATGCATTAAAAATGGATCACAGCTGAGATAAGTGATGACATTTTAAGATCCCAGCCGACCCAGCCGGCCCACCAGCCTTGTGAGGCTTTAAACATCATACAACGACACTCTCGCTTTGTCCTCCTGCGCTTCTGGGTTCAGAATGAGCAGCTCTCGCCCTTTCCTCGTATTCATAATGAAAATGTACGGCCGTGTAACCTAAGAATATGGGCCATAGGAGGGCCATGAGAGGAGACGATTAAATATTCAAACGCCAAAACCCACAGGCTTCAAGTCATTGTCCTGTCAAGTTGTTTTACGTTTTTGTTTTTGCCAATGTGTGCGGCGTGGGGTTGCTGGTAGGTTATTAAATCCATGCCTTTCATACAGAACGTAGGCCTGGAGGTCTTATTGCAATAACACCCAACATTAAAATAAAACCCCACATCCAGAAACCTTGAATCAACGTAAAGTCTCTACAATGTGACATGTGATGTCAGTTGTGGGTCTTAGGGGGACCGGAATCAGGGGTGAACCGGGTTGAAGAAAGCAAGGTGTGAGCACTGTTCTCTGGCTTAAGAGCCTGACCAGAGGGTAGCAGCAGGGATGAGAGGATGGAGAGAAGGATGCAGGGAAGAAGCCAGAGGGGTAGTCCGCTGAAGGGATACAGTTCATGTGTGTGTTCAGTCTCTGTGTGAGAATCCAGCAGTCTTTAGGCATACCCTCTGGGTAAGGTCTCTCTCTTTCTGTCAATCTCACTTTTTAACCCCCCCTCCCTCCATTGCTTTAGGCTTTAGAGTTTGTAAGAGAAGAAGAAGAAGAGAAGAGTTGTTGATTGTGCTGTATTAATGGTTTTGAGGTTATCTCAATGTCTGTCTGGCCTCTTAGGAGGCTTTTTGGAAGCCTGACAGCTGATCCCTTTATGTCATTATGTCTCTCTCAAGGACTTTAAATGGCATATGTTAGTGAGAGAGAGCAAAAGAGAGCTCGAGCAACAGAGAATGAAAGCAAGAAACATGATACTATAACAGTGTGATACACACAAAGCCCACTCTGTGCCTGACAATAGGCCCGATATCGCCGCTTCCCTATTGAGTCCCGGTCGCACATAACAGATTTGCTTCAAAGAACCACTTTCACCTAAAACCCTCTCCCCTCCGCTGTGTTTGGGCGTGCAGAGGCGTGCAAATTGAGACGAGTCCTAGTGTAGATTTCTCCCACCCTTGTGTGTGCCAACCCGGATACTTTTTCACAGACCAGAGAGGGGAGAGATTCAAGTTCATGTCCAGATATGTCTAACCCCCTTTCCCTCCTTTACACTCATTTATTTTTACCACAAACTCTGTCTGGAAGGGACAGGAGAGACATTGATTTAGGAACCCGGACTTTTTTCCCAAGGACGCCCTTATTTCCAACACCCCCGACCAACCAAGCAGCATTATCTCAGGGTCAGGATGGGTACAACAATGCAGTCTGTTGGGCACTCAGATTATATTCAAGTCTCTATTTTTCAGTCTATGAGGCCTGGGACTGTGAGGAATTAGGCCCTAACTTTGTGGTCCGACCTTCAGTTCCTGCAACGGGCTTTGAGGTGGAGGTGGACCCTGTTCCTGATGCAGGGCCAGGGGCTGCAGGGGGCAGTTGACTGCGTTGCACTTGAGGATGCCGAGGAAGGACTGCACGTATGGGCTGCTGGAGGGGATGTGACTGCTGTGGAGACCGGAGCTGGTAGCCTCGGCGGTAGCGCAGTGATTGGGAACGTAGGAGCACCCGTGTGTACTGGACCTCAGGCATGATGAGCTTGAGGCAGAGCTCCTGGGCCTGGCTCGAGAACCCACGGCTGAGATTTACCGGGAGGTCGTAGCCCACAATGTCGACTTTTCCACTAGGCTGCCAAGGGCGGAGATCCTTGTTTTTGATCTGGGCGGCTGACCGGAGAAGCGGCATACGCCCACCGAAGCAACTTCTCATTAGCCTCTCCTGGGCTCGCCGAAGGAGTCGCACTTCCCTTGCCACACAGGCTGGACCCAGAGCTGAAAGCTGGCGCCACAATGAGGCGTTGAAGTGGTCGTAGAGAAGTGCGTCTAAGGAATTCCAGGCACGGATCTTTGAGGGAAGACCTGGTGTCAGGCTCCGCTTTGAGCTTGGTGTCCGCATGTTGAGCTTAACATACAGGATATCATCCAGATCCCAGGAGAGGAGATGGCGAAGGAGAACCAATGACTCATCAAAGTATTCAGCAATCATCACCAGGGAGAAAACTCGCTCCACCTCTGCCAGAAAGGCCCGTGCATACGCCACATCTGTTGCTGGGCGATCCTTGTCTCCGCCCAGGTCGAAAGCCAAGGTGTTGCGTGCATACATGGAGTCCTTCTCATCGGGTCGGTAGTAGCGCCAGGGCTCCTCTAAGAAAGCCTCCAAGGAGCCGTTGGGGACCCTTTTGAAGCTCTGACAGTACTGGTTGTAGTAACTGAACAAGGATTCAAACATGGAGCCGGGCTCTCTCAGGATTGTGATATATATTGTGTCATTGGGCATCAGACGCTGCAGCTCTGCCTTGTTGAAGCGCATGTGGCTGGTGATGATGTTCGGCGGTAGCGTGTGCGGGTGGACAAAGTGAGAAGTGAAGGAGCGCGGGTAGCAGAACTGGTGGCTGCAGGCCTGCACGGGCAACGCCACAGTGAGGTTGTTGCGCTCTGCAAAGCGGAAAAGCAGGTTCTGCATGGTGGTGCTGGCCGTTTTGTGGGTCTTGAGGAAGGCCACATTAGTGTGCTTAGGTTTCAGGCCTGGGGCAGGGTGGGAACGGAGGGCAGGACAACCGAGGTGGAAGGCCTCCATGGTCCTGGAAGAAGAAAAAGAAAGTGTAATAATGTATTTGAAGCTCCATTAGCTCCAAAAAAAGGAGTAGCTATTCCACATAAAATGGTGACATTAGAGACACTGGACAGAAAATGGAAGAAACTGAAATGTGAAATGATATCGAAGGAATGATTTTCCAGCTAACTGAAATGTGAAATGATATCGAAGGAATGAATTCCCAGCTAACTGAAATGTGAAATGATATCGAAGGAATGAATTCCCAGCTGTTACTAAAAATGTGTTTTTGTGTTAAAAATGTAAAGAGTTTTGTCTGATGCAAATTGATTATTCAATCTTAATTTATGATTTTTTGATGTGTGAGTCCTTATTGTGATATCTATTATTACTGTAAGTATTGTGATAATGATGATTTCAGCCATATTCCCCAACCCTGCTACATACTCAAACTACAGTAGGCAATTTTTTGCATTTGCAATGTGATTTTGAAAATGTATACCAAGTAAAATACTATAATAAACAGAAAATATTCTGTATGAAAACTTACTTCTGTGCCTTCAGTGTCATTGTAGCCCATATGTAATGAATATTCATGATACGATTTTACCATAGCAAAGGAGCTAAATATAAAACACAGAAAAGTCCAATAATATGTAGCATTGGGTGCATACACTACTCACAAAAAGTTAGGGATATTCGGCTTTCGGATGAAATTTCAGAATGTACATAAAATGCACTATAACCTTTCCAGGTGATCTTAATTTGAACTTCTCTACTTAAATGCCCTACTTTCATGATATAATATCACTGTAGCATCAACTTTTTACATTTTCATGAAATTTCACCCGAAAGTGGTATATCCCTAACTTTTTGTGAGTAGTGTATATATTGAATACTCTGCAGTATTACAGCATGTAGTATTCAGTGGAAACTGAGCTAAAGGGTCAGATGTTGAAACAATGTCTGAGAAGTAGAGAGATGAAGTGCATAACAGTAAAGTTCACTGAAAAGAGACAGTAAAGACAGGAAGGGGGAAAAGGTTTTAAGAGCAAACCGTTAACGTTGAAAGGAGTACAAGAACAGAATACAGTCAAAGATCTACAATCCTTCTACTTTTATAATTGGTCCCTCAGCCCACTTGTCAGTGTATCTGCACACAAAGTCTCCATACATATTATAATAAGCCAGTCCCTCTGTTAATTGGTATTTAAAAGGAAAAGACAGGAGCTGCCATTGTCAGACTTTTCATTGCTATTCGTGCCATATGGACTCAAAGAGATATAGAGGGTACATAATGAGAGCAAGTGCATGTTTGCATATGTGTGGGCATGTATCACTCACCAGCTCAAGTGGCCCCCATGGTGCAGCAGAAGACTGACAGTACTGATGGCAACGAAGACCAGGAATATCTTCTTCTGCGACATCTCTCTCTCCTTCACTGGGACTGTGGGAGGTAGAGAAGAAGAGTGAGATGAATAGAGAACATAGGTGAAGGTAGAGCAGGAACGCACGAGAACGGCGGCAGCTGGAGGTGTAATGAGGAAGCGAAAATGAGGACGAGGAAGAAGGAGCACGCCGGTAAAAATGGGGAATTAGGCAGCGAGAGTGGAAACAGGAGAAAGGTTCAGAGGGAGAAAAGATGAAAGGAAGCAGACGTGAAAAGTGGAAGGACAGGAAGAAAAAGGGAAGAGACTGATACGATGAGGAGGATTTATTCAGCAAATAATGGCTAGGATCCATTAGCGGGAGAGGGTAGTGAGGCTTGGCTTTTGTCACTCTGTAATAATACAGTGAATGATACCTTCATTACCTTCCACAGCTGTAATAGTCACATTCACTGTTACACTCTTTTATATTCTCTTGGCTCACACCCTGGACAGATGGCCCCACGCATTAGGTCCTGTCAGTAATGAGGGACATGCATATGTGAAAAACCAACAGCACTTCACAGTGAGAGTGCTCTGTGACAGAAACTCCCCGTGTCACTTGACCCGCGCCGCCAAAACGCTACGACAGCAATGGAACCTGGGAAGGAGTCCAAGCCTCTCTCGACGGCATCTCACTTGCATAACAACGGCCGACGTCTCTCTCCTTGATTACACTGTCCTGTCACCGTCCACACACACACACACACACACATGCCAACAGTCATGAAAGTCAGCTCACATTACTCAAGGCAGCCGTATTTTACACTGCATGCTCCGTTTGGTGGATGCTTTTATCCGAATCATGGTGGAGGAGCATGAGTGCATCAATTTTGAGCTTGGATGGTCCCAGCAGGAAACCAGTGACCATGGCAGTGTTACTGCCACCCACTCAAATAAACGGGATCATTAAGGGTTTGCTGCACAGACAAGGACTTTGGTATGGGAGTAAAATAAGCGTTAAATCTGGCCAGACATATTGGTATTTTGATTTAGAGTCATGTAGTTTGCTTTCAAATCAAATAAAAATGTCAAGTGCTTGTCTTCTTTGACCAAAATCCCAAAATAAATCAATACACAATCATATAAAAGAGAGAAAAACTGCAAATCCTTACATTTGAGAAATGTGTGGCATTTTTTACTTAATGATGACTCAAAACCATTAATAAGTTATCTAAATATTTGGCCCAAAACTTTGTAAATGGTCTAATTTAAATTTCAGCATAATGTTTTAATCAATTCAATGCATTTTATTTCTAAACCAACTGTTAAAAAATGGAAATCTGGCTTGCAGGATCATTAATGAATAATAAGTCACAATAAAAACCACTAAAACGGTGTAACAACAAAGAGTAGTGAAGAAAAATTAGCCCCGGGTTCTAAGTAAGATCAAGATATATGTTTCCCAAATAATAATAATTAATCATTCAGTGAAGAATTGACAGCTGATCTCATTATTGAAGATTAAGAGAGAAACATGAATACTGACATTCCACTTGAGCAGCTGGGATTGTGCTGCTTCGGTGGTTGGGCTCAGTAGGGATGTGCGCAAACACACACAAATGCACAAAAACACTAAGCCTTCACTGATTCTAAACAGGCACTAATGCTCTCACACTAATTGATGCACAGATTGTTGTAGACACAATTTGCTTTTTGGCTAGTTAATCTTTTGTCAGTGTCAATACAGTATGTCCTCTGTCCTACTGATGGCCCCAATAATCCAACCACAATAGCATCTTATATTGTTCAATTTTTGAGTAAAAAGTCGAGGAACTTTATACTGATTGCTTCCAGATTAATGAAAGAGGGATACAACAACTCTGAGAGGGTAACAGTACAAACAATGACGCAGAATCTAACCTAACTAATCCATTTAACCACAGGTATTTTCATTACATCCCAATCCAAAGAGATTTTATTTGCAATGACATAATACAAACAAAAAAAACACAACAAACAACAACCAGCTATTCTTCACATATGCAAAGTTGAAACCAGACACTTGTTTAGTATTTTTGCTTGTTAAATCACTTAAATTTTAAGTCAGTCCTTAGGAAAACAACACATTAATCCCTCATGTAAATGTATTCATTTGCATCATCCCTAACTAGTGAAACAAGGAAATTCAGACTGTTTCTAAAGGCAATACATCATCATATTTCAAACTAATTTCAGCCCTTAAAAAAGCTCACCCAGCAAAACCCTTGAAAAACACAGTTTGGCTCTAAGTGCAGGGCTTAGTTCTTCTACCAAAGTATCTTTTTATATATAGCATGCCCAAATTGTTTTCTGCTACAAGTACACATCAGCTTTTAGAGAAGATTCTGGCCAGATTCAGCACAACTTGCGGCACTTTTAAGGCTCAGAAAATGTTTCCTTCATACTCTTTAATAAATAAAATGTCCTTTTTTAAAATATGCATCCTTTCTCCTTTACATTGTCCCTGTTTTTCTTAACAGTCTTAACACAGTCTGAGTAGTCGGAGATATTTGTGTTCATGTTTCCCCCCCTCAAGTAGAAGTCATTTGCTGCCATTATATCTTGCACCGCATGAAAAACAACCTCCAGTGACTTGAAAATTGCCTGAGCTGGATAATCCATCGCATTAAATATGACACCTTAATGTGGTTCTGCCACAGTTTCTGCTTTATTTCTATTTCAGCGTGCCTGAGTCGAGCGTTTTCATATCTGTGCTCTCGTCACATCATCCTCTCCTTACTGTTAATCACCTGACACAGACAGGAGGAGATTGAAATCTCTGCCAGGACGTAATCGCTGAAAAACATTTCACCTCAGCCGCTATATTATCAGATCTCTTTGTATTCAAAAAGGGGTGGGGCAGCAAACAGCAAAGAAAACCCTAAAGGTGTGTCCAGACTGAGGAGAATATTAGAGTTGGTGTAATTATAAACAAACTAAATTCACTCTAGGTGGCACAAACCCGTGTGAACATTGCACGTTGCAGAGAAGCTGTAGGGCTAAATCAAGCAAGAGAAATACAGAGAGGATCTGGGTGAAAATAACTTGACTGTCTGTGTATTGGCTGTTTGTAGCAAATAAACATCGCCTGCAAACATAATCCAGTCAAATTCTCACGAACGAAGCAAGGTGAAAACAAGAGTCCGTAGCCATGTTAGGCGCTCTGTAAAATGCTGAAATGCTCATAATGATGATGCTGACATGGTGATGCTAAGCAGGTAGAATACCTCCTTACCATATTGACCATCTTAGTTAATTAGCACAGAACGCAAAGTAGAGCTGAGGCTGGTGGGAATGTCATTTTGCTGTAAAAGTAGGAAGAAATTGACCTGCAGGTAGTGCTAGAAGGTCAGTTTCCGTCAACAGGTTTCATGCTCTGGATTCCATGAATGTCTAAAAAATTTCATGGCAATCCATCAAATAGTTGTTGAGATATCTCACTCTGGACCAAAGTAGTGGACTGAAGGTCTGACCGACCAACATCAGCATCCACTAGCATGTTCAATCTTAATGTTCCTTAACCTGTGTAACTATTGCTAAAAATGTAACAAGAAATAGGCCTGTCTATGTGGTCATTTTATATAAACTATTTACTCATTTAATTTGCAGAAATTGTGCTATATCGTGATATGTATCATTACTGGAACATACAATTACCTATATATATGAGATTTTGATTATATTGCACAACCCTAATCGTAGTCATGTTTAAAAGAAACCAACATCGACTGATGGTTGGAAACTGGAAAAGTTGTCTCCTGTGTTATCGTCTCAACCTTTTGTTGACACATTCAACCAACCCAACATCCTCCCCACACAGACTTTATCACTCTATAATGATGTCACTTTATTTCCTATTTTGCTCAAATTATTGAACATAAACATCGTTCTGGGGCATTTGCTGAAATGACTGATGCTGTCGTCACTCTCAATTATTTAGGTGGGTATAATCTTGTTATAATTATCAGATATGATGGCCAAAACTATGAAAAAAGACCCAAATTGTAATAAAACTATCACAGCTTCGTGCCTAACTCCAACATCCTTACATTCCTCAGAAACACTTGCATGAAGTGGAACAGGATGAACTTTTCATTATTATCCTAGAAAATGTCACCTCTTCCAGGTTGGTCAATTACATTTAGTTACACTGGCCTCTTTGACTCAAGGTTAGGTCTCATTTGCATAGGAAAATGTCACTGTAACTGTTTTGAATGAAGCATTAATGAAAAGCACGGACTGATCCACCCTGATTCACACAGTAGTGGGATGCAGTAAAATGCAGCGCTGCAGCTGGTGCTCGGCACTGATACGACATCGTTAGCACAATGGAACCATGCAGCAGAGATGCTGGAGCTATTTGGGGGGGGGTTAGAGGAGCTGGTTCGTAGCCTTGTGTGTGTGTGTGTGTGTGTGTGTGTGTGTGTGTGTGTGTGTGTGTGTGTGTGTGTGTGTGTGTGTGTGTGTGTGTGAGGGGATGGAGGTAGATCATGTGTCACAGAGAGTTAATAAGAAAGGGATTTAAGTGGCTTTCAGTAGACAGACTCGACCTCTCCTCCTTCTCTGCTGCCATCTTCTCCTCCCTTCACCTCCTCCTCCTCCCCTCTCCTCCTTCTTCACCAACACTCTGGCCTCTTTAATTATAATGGTCTGATTAGGTTTCTCTTACGATCGCTGCAGATATGAAAGCAAAGTGAGAGGACACCCGATCCCCCCCTGTACGTGGACAATGATTTCAGAAAAAGGAGACAGACAGGAGAAGGGATACCTTATCTTATTTGTGTATTGATTTAATGATTAAATGATGGATAATCCACAAGGAGGTGTATGTTTTAAAGGATTTCAACACATGACATGAAGGTAAAGAACCACCTGATGTGCAGCGTCCTCAGCGGAGGATTTCAAGTAATCCTTTAATGCAGACCTCAGAGTGGATTATCCGTTTTACATCGTGGTCACTCGCCAAAGATTTTAAATAAGAGCATTCGCTGGTTACTTGAATGTTTGGGACTCAGGGGTAAAAGGTTAGGAGGCAAAA